CTGGGGCGGGGGTCTCTGCTGCTTGGCTTGAAGCTGGTTCTCTGGAAGAAAAAAGCTGTTTTTATGTGGGGTGGAGCTGGAGGGTGGTGGTGTCATGATTGCTAATGGGTCTGTGATTGGGTGTTCTAAGGTGCTATCGCCTCTGAGTGTGTGTGTGAGTCTGAGCAGCTGCGACCCGTGTGTGCTCCAACCTGTCGTGTGAGTGTCTACAGCCAGCTGTGTCTCTGGGTGACTGGATGTGTTTGGGTGTGTGTACACCAGCTGTGTACGTGCCTCTGTGTTTCCCCTTGTGGTGCCCATGGGTGTGTGACTGGGCGTGACTTCACTCTGATCCAGTTGGGTGTCCGAGGGTCCTCCAGATCTTGGAATGTCCTAGGATGTTTGTGGGGTTTGTGGCCACCATGAGTATCTGAGGGCACCTTGGGGAGGATGCATGAGAGGACCAGGGCGGGGGCCGTCCACAGCACTGGGGAAGGAGGCTTCCCTGTGGTCTGTCTGGCCCCCTATCACCTGGGGAGGAGTGGAAGCCTCTTGGGGAGCCTGAGCACAGGATGTTTTTTCCACATCAGAAGGGATGGAATGGAGAAGGGGGGAGTAAAGGGGGAGTGCTGCTCCTCCTTTTTCATATAAACCAAGGGGGGCAGGCAGGGGAATAAGAGACAGAAAAGAAACACGGAGAGGGGAAACAGGGACCTTAGAGGAACCAGAGTTGGGAGTCTCAGGGCTGGAAGGTTGAGGAACGGGAGGAGTGAGGAGCAGGATCTAGGAGCCCCAGGCCCTCCTTGGATAGGAGGGGGAGCCACCTGACTCTAGGCCAGATCCAGGGTCTGGGGTTTGAGGTTAGGCTGGGTGACGTCAAGTGGGTTCCTTTCCTCTCTGGATCTTGGTTTTCATTTCCTCCCACCTTGGTCCATGCACATCCTGGGGCCACTGACTTCTTACTTAATCAACAACCCTGGCCTAACACTCCCAGCCTGGTCCCCTAGCAGCTCTGGGATACATCTGGGACAGATGGGCCCCATGGCTCAGAGGGTTTGGAGCTGTTCCCAGGTGACCCAGCAGGCCCCTTGGCCCCACCAGCCCCCCCATCCCTCAGCTCCTCCTGCCCCCACTCCCAGTGACTCATGATTTTCCATCTTCAAGAAAGAACAAACAGGTTTGAGCCTGTCTTAGGGGGGAGACCCTAAGTGGCTCTGGAAGGCAGGAGATTGTGTTCCTGTGAGTGTTCACAGGGGTGCGTGTGCATATATATGCTGGTGTGTGGGAAGGGGCTCAGCCCTCGGGGAAGCTGAGTTTAAGGACAACCTACTGTGTGGTCCTGAAAAAGTGACAGTACTTCTCTGAACCTCAGTGCTGACAGCGGGATGCAAACATGAATCTGTATTTTCTACATTTTGTCTTGAACTTTCTGTGTGGGAGCCTGGTTCCCAGATCTGGCTGTCCTCCCCACTGCCCCAGGCAGATCATGTGGTCTGGGAGGATCCTAGCATCTTGTTCAGCAAGCATTTATTAAGCACCTACTGTGTGCCAGGCCCTGTACTGAAGACACAGCAATGGGCAAGCAGGTGCTGACAGGCTCATGGTGGAGACACTTACACCAGGTGGAGACAGCACAGGGTGATCTGTGTTGTGATGGGGAGAGCTCAGGGTGCCAGGGGAGCCCAGAGGAGGTTTCTGATCCAGCACTGGGTGAGTAGGAGGTGAGAAAAGATGGCTTGAAAGAGGTGGCATCTAAGCTTAAACTGAAGGATGAAGAAAATTTAGCCAGGAGGACTGAAGGGAAAGATATGCCAAGCAGAATGAACAGAATGTGCAAAGCCTTAGACTCAAGAGGATCAGGTATATGAAGAGCTCAACACAGATCACTGTGGCTGAAGGGAGGGGGGAGGAGACTCTCTATTTACTTACAAGCATTTATTGAGCGTCTACTGAGTGCCAGACACTGAGGGCACAGCTGTGAGCAAACGCAAGTCCTGCCTTTGAGGGCCTGGGGGGCAAGGCAGATCCAGATCAAGTAACCATGACAAGGAAATGTAAAATTGTACCCATGAGGGAAGGGTGCTCTGAGAATATTTACCCAGCTGGTCAGGGAGGGCTTCCTGGAGGGGTCATGCTCCAGCTATGATCTGAAACATGAAGAGTCAGCAGGAGAACATTTGAGCAAGGGCATGGGGTGGGAGTGAACTTGACTGGTTCAAGGAAAACTAAGGAAGGAGATGAGGCTGAGGCAGAGTGAGCCAAGAGGAGGGGGATGGGGAGGCTCAGACCTCAAAAGGGTCAGGCCACACAAGGCCCTCAGAGAGGTATGGATTGAGATGGAAGGGCAATAGGGAGCCATTGGAAGCGTCTGGAGCAGAGGAGGGTGAGATCTGACCCATGTGAGCATTTATATACACTTGACTCAGCCCCTGCTCTCCTCTCTTTGTCTAGATTCTCCATGGGGGTGGGGGAGGGGGCACCTGGGTGGCTCAGTCAGTTAAGCGTCTGCCTTCAGCTCAGGTCATGATCCCAGGATCCTAGGATCCAGTCCTGTGTCAGGCTTACTGCTTACCAGGGAGTCTGCTTCTCCCTCTCCCTCTCTGTCTACCCCTCCCCTCCGCTCATGCGCTCGCTCTCTCTCTCTCAAATAAATAAATAAAATCTTAAAAAAAAATAGATTCTCATGGGGACTTGGACAAATCATCTCTCCTCTCCAGACCTCAGTTTACTTGTCTGTAAAATGGGCATAACAGCACCCACCTCCTGTCTCACTGGGGCCACCTGGTGGCAGAGGAGAAAAGTGTCTGCCAAAGGAAGGACTGCTTCAGTGGGGGAATTCCAGTTGATGATATGCTAAGGGCACTAGAGTGCTGGGCCCTTCCTTGTCAGGCAGGACACAGGGACAAAGTCAGGATGGGGGTCCTCCTGTCCACCCCTCCTTCAGCCTCAGCCCCTTACCCGGCTGGGTTTGGGGCCTCCCAGAGTCAAGCAGACCAGGCTTCAAATGCTGAGTCTTGGCTCTGTGGCTCATTTTCTCCATCCCAAAATCTATTAATAGAGCATTACTGTTAAAACTGGTAATAAAATATTTAAAGTTGAATCTATTAATGTTTCAAACCATTAAACTATTAAAACTCTTGATAAAACATGAATGTCAGAGTAGCCTCTGGGACTTCAGTGAGGATAGAGTCAGTTAAGCATTAATTGGGAGAGGGCACATGCTAGGGAGCCCTCCAGCCTAGGCTTGATTGACCCCGTGGCCCTGCCGCTCAGGGCTATGTGACCTCGAGCAAGTGAACACCACCTCCCTGTGCCTCAGTTTCCCCATCCACAAAATGAGTGTGATAGTCCCCACTTTGTAGAGTTGCTCTGAAAATCAAATGACTTTTACACGTGCCGCCCTTGGCTCAGCTCCAGGCAAGTAGGAAGCAGTTGGTATTGATGCACTTCGTCTTAGCTTTCCATTTCATGTCTGTGACTTCTGGGGAGAGACTGAATCTCTCCGTGCCTGTTTCTCCTTAGGGACATGGGACCCTTACAAGCCCCTCCCATGGGGCCGAGTTGGTATCGAGGCTCCTCTGACCCTGTCCCCAGTGCCTCCACCAGGCTGATCCTGGCAGCCTCTATCCCCTGGGGACTGGCTATAATTAGGTCCAACCACAGCAACTACAGATGGTATTTTTGACAGTGAGTCTGGTTCCCACCAGGTGTCCGGTTGCAGGGCCATGGGGGCAGGAGGGGGTTCCCAGCCAGGTCCTTGAGACTCTCTGCACTGCTGGGCCCCAGTGTGCCCCTTCTCTGAGCCTCCGTTTTCTCACCTGTACAATGGGGACAATGGGATGGTTGCGAGTCAGGAGAGAGTCAGAGTCTCCTCCCTGTGGCACCTCAGGTTCCTCCACTGAAGCTCTAATCACCCCATTGTACATCACATTCCCCTCGGAGTGTCAGAAATGTGGGTGCCATTTGCCTAGGGACCCCAAAAATGCATGAAGTCCCCTGGACAAAGCCCAGGCAGGGGAGGGGATGTCATCCCCCAGCAGGGACACAGTTGGACTTAGAGCTTCTGTGAGGCCTCAGCTGAGAGGCCCAGCCTCCCTGGGCCTCAGCTGCCTCTGCTTAAGACATGGGCATTCAAGGTCCTGCCACCAAGTGTGACACCCTGAGACTTGGTTTCCTTTTCTGTGGAACGGGGCAGGGCCACCCCAATGCCAGCATTCAGAGGATAGAGCACGTGGTACAGATCCCTGAAAGCCCCCCGAATCTCACATTCCAGGCCCCCTGGGGTCCTTCCTGGGGCAGGGGAGAGTCAGCTGATGCTTCACAGACGGAAGATCTGGTGGGAGTGGAGTGCGGATGTTTGTCCAGTAGAGACAGCAAGAGAGGGGAAAGGATCCAGAGACGGGGCCTGGGGAATGTCAGAGCGGGTGGGGGTCATGTGGGGACTTGTGGAGGGAGACTGGGAGAAGGGGAGCTGGGTTCGAACCCGCTGTCCTGCAGCAAAGCCATGTGCCTGTTACTACCTCTTTCCAAGCCTCAGTTTCCCCACCTGGTAAAGGGTTAAGGGTTTGTAGTTTTGGGGCAGCCCTTGGTGGCTTCAGGCCTCATATTCTCCATATAGAAAATGGGCAGAGGGGTATTGGAAACACTGCACGGGATCTGAGCAGCCCCTTGGCAAACTCCGTGCCTCGGTGACCCTCTCACAATGGAGGACACTTCCCTTTCTGACTTCCGCATTTCACTCTTCAGCCAAGTTGTCAACCCAACAAGCTGCCCTAATTGTGGTCGTGTTGACAGAGGGATGTGGCTAAGATCCGGGTTCTGGGACCCACGGGGGCCACTCCCAAAGGGAGGGAGCAGAGAGTTGCGGCCAGCTCAGTGCCTCAGTTTCCCCATTTGTCCCGGTAGGGGCATCATGGAGAGGTCCAGCGGCGAGGCGGAGTCGGTGCGCCCTCTGCCCCCTCCCCGCCGGGCCCCGCCCCCGCGGCTGTCCAGAAAAGGTCCCGCGCAGCCTGCGCTGGGTTCAGCCTCCACGCGATCTTGGCGATGCAGGGACCCCCCGCGCCCGCCCCGGCCCCCGGGTCCAGCTCCCCTCGGGGCTCCCCGCGCGGCTCCCCCGGGCTCTTCAGGAAACTCCTGGTGAACCAGAGCATCCGCCTGCAGCGGCGCTTCACTGTGGCCCATCCGCTGTGGTGAGGCGAGACGGAGGGCCTGGCGGGGGTCACCAGAACAGCTAGGCTGGAGGTGGGAAGGGCAAAGTCAGGGACAGCTGGAGCCGGGTCGGGAATCAGGGTAGGGACGCTCTGCGCCTCCCTCTCTTTCTCGATATCTCTCTCCCCCTGCCCTATCTCCCTCTCTCGTACTTGGAGACTCTGTCTTTCTCTATCTCTATCTGTCTCTCCCTCCACCCGCTGCCTGTACAAAGGCCCGAGGGACCAGCGTCTGTCCCTTTCCAGCTGTGTGGCCCAGAGCAGGACGGGCTGAGGCTCACGTCTCCTCCTGACCCTAGCCTGCTGAACGCCCTGCGAGGGAGGGGAGGAGGAATGACTCCTCCCCTTGTTCTCGCTCCCCAGTCAGTCCCGGAGCCAACACCGAGATGGCCCGGGGGCCAAACACCAAGCCTTCGGTGTCTACAGGGGAAGACCTGATTTGACGGGGGGCCTTCGAAGCAGGGTGTTCGCAGTGTAAGAGGGCGAGTTGCGTGTCCCACGCAGAAAGCGGATCTGCGCGGAGCGCAGGTTCCTCGCAGCCGCACTCGGTTGCGTCCTAGGAAGACTCCATCCACCGTTCTGGGTTCTAATCCCGACCCCTTCAGGAAGCTGTGACCTCGTGGGGCGCGGGGGCGAGGCTGGGGTCGGAGGTGGGGCTTGTGGGCGCCGACTGTGTCTGGCACCTTGCTCTGGATTCGTGCCACATTAGCACTCACTTGATAATTTGGCACCTGCCGGCTCAGGGACTGAAGGTCCCTTCACCAAGGTCACACGGCCAGTGACAGCTGGCTGGGTGGAGGCAGTCGTGACCGTGGTCCTTGATGGCGCCCTTTCAGTCCGGGAGGGGTGGGGTGTCCCAGGTCCCGGAGAGCGCCACCAGCGCACTAGACGCCTGCGAAGAGGGGTCCCTGCGGAGGGTTCCGGAGAGAGCTCAGGGGCGTCGAGGGAGAGCCCTCGGTCCCAGAAGGTGAGGCTGGAGGAGGGTGGGTCCCTCTGAGGCCCCCTTGCCTCAGTTTATCTATCCAACCGATGGACAGACGCACGGTTCCCACAGTCCAGGCGACCTCGCCCCGAGCCGCCCGCGTCATGGAACCACGGTCTGACCCCACCGCTCCCGGCTAAGTTTAGAGCAGAAAGAAAAACAGCTTTTCTCGCGGCGCGAAAATCCCCGCCCAGCCCTTAACCCTCCGCACCCATTACTTGGATTCTAATCCAGCACCCTGTTGCCTCTCCTGGCCTCAGTTTCCCTATTGATCCATGGGTTTGCTCTTCCAGAAACTTGGGGGAGAGGCAAGGGAGGGGTAGGGGGTAGCCACTCCCAAGGCTCCCCTTCCGAGGGCAGGTTTGGGTATCCGCCGCCGCTGGCCCTCCTGAGTGTCTCTTTGCTAGCCTCCGAGCCCCCGGCCTGGGCAGGATAGGGTTAAGAGGCACCCGCCCCCCAGGGTGACGTCACGAAGCGGGGGCTCGGAAGCCCCAGCTGTCTGGGGATTCTCTTGGAAGCGCCGAATTCGGAAAGGCCGAGAGCCGCCGGACATAGCCGACTACGTCCGAACATACCCGAGTGAGGCCGGACTAGGCCGAAAGTGCGCGACTCGGGCCGAGGGCCACCCGGGCTTGTTCGTAAACCTAGCGCAGCCGGATTTAGGCGAACGTGCCCGTATGCCTCCGAACCTGCCTGAGCAGGGTCGGACGTAGCCGAATCTTACCGAATTCGCGCGACTCAAGTCCCGGGGCCAGATTGGTTCCAGTGGGAAGGGCTCTGCGGTGCAGATGTGGAGATGGAGGAATGAGGGGCACAGGATCCCTGGGTAGGGGTGCCGACTGTGGGGCAGGTGGACAAACTGGAGGCTACTTCTGCCCAACCCACCGAGGCCCTATCTGGTCCAGAACCTATCTGGAGCAGGCCCAAACATGTGTGATCAGACCCAAATCGGGTCAAACGTGGCTATACGTGACGGAGCCGGACCGAATCCAGCCGAACTGGACAGAATCCCGTCGAATCCCCCACCCCCACTGCGGTCTGAGCCGAATCCCCCGCTCAGAGTCTTCTGGCAGATGCTGATCCCGCCGGGTGGACTGGGATGGGGTCACTTGGCAGGGGACCAGGTGGACACTGGCCCTTGGCCAGGAGCCCTGTGTCTTGGGAGGTCCCCGGTGTCTTCCTGGCTTCGCCTCTCCTGCCTATCCCCTTCTCCCTTCTCAAAAGCCCATGACCCCCACACAGGCAGCCCCTCTCTCTCCTACTAACTCCTCTCCTGAACTTCTATTTCCCCCCGGCCCCTCCCACTTTTTCTCTGATCTGTAATCCCAAAGGATAGGGGTGTAGTCCCCCTTACCCAGTCCGGGTGTGGCCTGACAGAGACACAGGGCTGAGAGCTGGGAGGGGGTGTTGGGGATTATTGCAACAAGGGGCACTGGGGAGAGGATGGTGCTGCGGAGGAGTGGGGAAACTTAGGACACGGGCAAGTGAGCTGGGGGCATGGTCGACAAGGTTGGGGCAGGGCCATATGGAATGAGCCTGGGGCCTGGGAGCTGGGGGTGAGGACAGGTGATCGGAACGAGGACAAAGCTGGCTGGGGGAGCCTTGGAGCATGTCAGATCCAAGCTGGACCCAGGCTCCCTCTAGAAAGGAAAGCCCAGGAAGTTGTTTGCTGTCCCGATTAATTTATCATGCGACATAGACCTTAGTTTACTGCTTAGTACGGGTACACAGCGGCAGTCCGCTCGTGCTCTGTGGTTACTCCCTAAAAGCGCCATCGGGGAAGGAGTATATACCATGCCCATATTAGAGACCAGGTGGGTTGATGTCCAAAGAAAGGCCAAAACCTACCCATGGTCACACAACCACATGGGGACAGATCTGAAACTCATGTCCCGGGGTCCAGATTGGTCCCAGTGGGAAGGGCTCTGGGGTACAGATGTGGAGACAGAAGAATGAGGAGCACAGGTCCCCTGGGTAGGGGTGCGACTGTGGGGCAGGTGGACAAACTGGAGGCTACTTCTGTCCAACCCATCGAAGCCCCAGGGAGGATGTGGGCCACAGCCAGGCATCCACATGCTGGGACCCGAGGCTCTGACCAAGCCTAATCTGCCTTCAGCTTTGACCTGGAAAATGGATTCTCATGTGGGAGAAGCACCCTGGACCCTCAGGCTGGGCCTGGCCTTGGTCAGGTCAGCCAGGCCCCTGCTCAGCACAGCCAGAGGCGAGAGTCCTTCCTGTACCGCTCCGACAGTGACTACGAACTCTCCCCCAAGGCCATGTCCCGGAACTCCTCTGTGGCTAGCGATCTGTGAGTCCAAGGCTGGTGGGATGACACCTCCCTGTTCTTCCCTCCTTTCTTAATTCCTCCATTCAGCACACCTCCTTCAAGTGGTCATTTGAACTGGGCTTTGAGGTTTAAGTAGGTGTTTTCCAGACAGCTCACTTATGCGGTTGAGCATGCGGAGAATGATACCCGGTAACTCTCTGTGCTTGAACTGAGGCTGGGGTTGGGTGACAATCCGGAGACATTAAGTCCAATTAGCAGCAACAGAACAAACACCTCGATTTGAGATTCCTGGTAGCCATAATGAAAAAAGAAATACAATAATTTCCACCCTGCCTCTATTAAGATCTCTGCCGCCCCTCGTTCCCTATTTGTGAGATGGGGAAGAGACAGGTGAGGGGAGCTCGGGGAGCAAAAGGACACCCAAAGGAGGAGTCACGAGGGGAGGACGCGCTCAGGTGAGGACATAGTATGGATAAAAGCTGCAAGATGGGAACCAGCGTGAGGTCTTCTCCTGGCCGCCCTTCCTGATGTCCCATCTCCCCGCAGACACGGAGAAGACATGATTGTGACGCCCTTTGCCCAGGTGGGTGCCCACACTTTGCCCCTCCTCCCGTGAGCCAAGCAGGCAGATCCGACCCCTGCTTTCCAACGCTGATCACGCCCCTTCCGACAGGTCCTAGCCAGTCTGAGGACAGTTCGGAGCAACGTCGCAGCCCTTGCCCACCTGCAACGACGCGGGGCAGCCAAGTACGCAGAGGGCGGGGCGGGGGCGGGGCCTGGCGGAGCGAGGTGGGGCCGACAAGCGCAGGCATCGGGGCGGGGCCTGCGGGAGAGACAGGCTGGGCTGGCGGAGGGGGCGGGACCAGGCCTGGAGGGGCGGGGCCTGAAGACAAGGTGGGCCAGGCTGAGGCAGGGCCCGACCCGAAAGAATACCGCCCGCACCTCGCCGGGAAGGGGTGGGGTATGCTGGGTGGGAGCGGGGCCTGGGAGACTTGAAGGCAGGGCTGTATGAGTGACGGAGGCCATCCCTACCGCAGGCAGGCATCAGTCGAGAACCCCCTAATTGGCAGTCAGCCCCCTCCACCTACAGGTAACGTGCCTGCTCCTCCTCCCTCCTCCCACTGCTGGACAGCTGTGAACTTCCTCTCCATGGTGACATACTCCGCCCATGAGTCCTTAGGCTTTGCTAATTGTAATCCCCAAAACACCCTTGGGGATGGAGTCTTCCACGCCCATATTACAGATGGAGAGGCCGAGGCCCAGGGAGGGCAGAGACCTGCTCATGGTCACACAGCTACTTAGGAACAGATCTATCACTCAGATCCTGGGGTCCTTAATGACCTTATTGGGAAGGGCTCCAGGGTCCAGATGCAGAGATAGAGGCATGAGGGGCGCAGGGTCCCCCAGGGGGGTTGAGGCAGCCCCTGACCAGCTTGGCCCCCAGAGGACACTGGGCAGAAGCTGGCTTTGGAGACACTGGACGAGCTGGACTGGTGTCTGGATCAGCTGGAGACACTGCAGACACGGCACTCAGTGGGGGAAATGGCCTCCAACAAGGTGAGGAGGACCAGATAGCCGAGATCATTTGCTTCTGCCCACAGTGCCCCCATCATCACTGCCCTCACCTTCCCCTGCAGTTCAAGCGGATGCTGAACCGGGAGTTAACTCACCTGTCCGAAACCAGCCGCTCTGGGAACCAGGTGTCCGAGTACATCTCGCAAACATTCCTGGGTGAGCTGTGGTGGGTCACTGCTTGGGCAACATCTTAGAGGTAGAAAGAAGGAAGAAAAAGAAAGTCTTGTATTATAGACCTCGATCTGGGGAAGACAGAGTCAGACATGGACACCTCCAACCCCAGGGGTCAGAGATGGACCACAGGGAAGAACAGAGGGAACTTTCAGGAGGAGGAGGACATTAAAGCTAGAGTTCTGAAGCATGTGTAGAAGTTTTCCAAGGGGGACATGGAGTGAACATGGAGACAGCTAGGTCTCCAGCTTGGGAGATGGAAAGGACATTTGGCTGTTTGGGGAAAAATACTGAACCCCACGTACCCAAGGGCAATGTCAAACAGAAGGGTCCCTGAGATCAGCCATGAACAGAGAAGAAGGGTAGTAGCTACAGGCCAGATAGGGACTTTACTCCAAGCTTACTTTGATATAGGTAAAAAGGAAATAGGTTGGTCCTGAGGCTTGGCAAGATCCAGGACCTGAGGCTAGGCAGGATGACCCCAGCAGTTCTGAATCAGTTTCCCTGAGCCCCACCCTGCTCCGTCTACAGACCAGCAGACTGAGATGGAGTTGCCCAGGGTGACCCCCATGGAGACCCCAAGGCCCATGTCCCAGATCAGCAGCCTGCGTGGGGTCCCCCACAGTGCCAGCCTCTCTGCAGCCACCGTCCCACGCTTTGGGGTCCAGACTGACCAGGAGGGGCAGCTGGCCAAGGTGGGTCCCCAACTGGAATCCTGAGACTTGAGTTTGAATTGTGGCTCTGCTTGGATGCTCTATCTTGGGCCTCAGTTTGCCCGCTTGTATACTGGGTAGGTGGGGCTCATTGTAGGACCTGGGGCCTGGTGGGGGGTGTCAAGGGTCCAGGGCCTGAGGAAGGTGAGCTGGAGTTAAGCTCCAGTTCTGCACATTCTAGGAACTGGAAGACACCAACAAGTGGGGGCTTGATGTGTTCAAGGTGGCAGAACTAAGTGGGAACCGGCCCCTCACAACCATCATATTCAGCATCTTTCAGGTACCTACCTGCCCTCACAGGGCGACTGGAGTTTCTTTCCTTCACATCTTCCTACCCCAAGACCTCCAGGGACACTCATTTTCAAATCCTCCCTGATACCCCTGAATGGCATAATTTAAGCTGCATATTGAAGGATGGATTTTTCATGTTGAAAAATTCATTGTCAACAAGCCTCAGCCCTGAGCCTGGCCCTGAAGAGACCCAGTCTTGGAGGGAACAACTGGACAAAGATAACCCCAGCCTTGTGAGGTCAGGGATAGACCAGACGGGAAGGACAGGGACCAAGGGAATTCAGAGGGAGAGATGGGAGGGCATCCTGGAAGAGGGGGCATTTGAGGCATGGATAGGAGTTCAGAAGGAGGGAAGGCGTAGTGACTGGAGGCCTGTGATGGACCAGGAACGGGACCTGCTCAAGACATTTCAGATCCCAGCGGACACACTTGTCACCTACCTTCTGACGCTGGAGAGTCACTATCATGCCGATGTGGCCTACCACAACAGCCTACACGCCGCTGATGTGGCTCAGTCCACGCATGTGCTGCTGGCCACACCTGCCCTCGAGGTACTACCCTAAGGCTAGAGGCAGCCAGGGTGGGTGCAGGGGGCAGAGAGCCCACCCCTTACCTCTCGTGCCTCGCGCCTGCTCAGGCCGTTTTCACAGACCTGGAAATCCTGGCTGCCATCTTTGCAAGCGCCATCCATGATGTGGACCATCCTGGGGTCTCCAACCAGTTTCTCATTAACACCAGTGAGTTGGGGGCGGGGCCCTGCCTCCACCTGTCAGTCATGTGATCATCTCGGGCCCACCCACTCCTATTCTGAGCCTAGTTTCCCTGTTTGTGAAAGGGCCGAGACCATCCCTCCCTTAGGTGCTCAGAGCGGTTCCAGGTACACAGTAGGTGCTCAATAAATGAGAAAATAACAACTGTGGCAGAACTGCCCTGGGCCACAAAGATTTTAAAGCTCAGAGTCCTTTGACGTTTCTGAAGAACTCAGTCAAATAATTATTGGGTGCCTTCTGTATACATCCTTGGAGAGCTGGGGACAGGAGTGGAGCCTTCTTACTCAACGATCCCAGAGTCTAATAAGATGACAACTCAGTTGTTCAGTCAAGCAGCACTCAGTATGCACTGTCTCCTGCCATGCCAAGGCCTCAAGGAGTCCCCTGTTTCGAGAGGCAGAGCTGAACACAGATGCCCCAGCCCTGCAGTCAGGGCAGGGCTAGGGGGAAAGACAGAATTTTAGAAGGCTTCATGGAGTAGAAGGCATTAGAGGTGGGGCCTCCACGGATGAGTAGGAGTTTGCCGAGGGCTTGCGAAACCTGCCTTTGGGTGGAGTGGGCAGGTGCACAGGTCTTGAGGCTCCCTGCCTCCCCCGCAGACTCAGAGCTTGCACTTATGTACAATGATGCCTCTGTGCTGGAGAACCACCACCTGGCCGTGGGCTTCAAGTTGCTGCAGGCAGAGAACTGCGACATCTTCCAGAACCTCAGCGCCAAGCAGAGGCTGAGTCTGCGCAGGATGGTCATCGACATGGTGAGGCCACAGCTAGGAATGGGACGGGGTGATCTTGGCCTGGCTGAGGGTTCATTTGGACCTGGCCATGTCTCTACTCTGAACCTGAGCTTCCTCCTCTGTAAAATGGGGTAATGACCATCCAAGCCCTGGGCGAGAGTCACCAGAATTAAGTCCTGGCTGCACTTCACACACTGTTTCTGGGGTTTCAGGTACAATTTTTTTGAAACCCAAGTCTGCCCATTTGATATTTTTCAGATCGGAACACAACATTAAGTTTTGGGGTCTTGTGCCTCAATTTATTAATTTTATTATTATTATTATTTTAATTAAGCAGCCTCCACACCCAACATGGGGCTTGAACTCATGGCCTGAGATCAAGAGTCACATGCTCTACCAGCTGAGCCAGCCAGGCGCCCCTCATTCATTAATGTAACAAGCATTTATTGGACACTTATTGTGTGCTTTCCCTGTGCCAATGACCGGTAGAGTTCTGGCCTTTATAAGACTCATGGTCGGGCGCCTGGGTGGCTCAGACGGTTAAGCGTCTGCCTTCGGCTCAGGTCATGATCCCAGGGTCCTGGGATCGAGTCCCGCATCGGGCTCCCTG